CAACATGGCACAAGTATACATATGTAACAAACCTGCACGTTATGCACATGTACCCTACAACTTAAAGTATAATAATAATAAATTTAAAAAAAAAAAATTCATCACTATTCCATATTCGAGTCATAGCCTTCAATAATTTTAGGGAGTGTTTTGTGCAATGCATTTTCTACTCATAGCTCACAGGTTTTATTTTTTAAACATAACTGAGAGCATACTGAATGCTTTTGACCACACTGTCAAATACTCTTCAAAAACATTTTTATTCCTGAACAATATTCTCTAATATGCTCCACTGTAATTTACATAACGATTTCTCTATCGTTAGAAATTTAGGGAGTTTTTTCCTGCTTATGGACAATGTTGCAATGCAAAATCTTGAAGAAAATTCTGCCTGCCTTTCTGGTTAATCCCTTCAAAGAGATTCCTAAAAGTAGAAATAATTGCTTGAAGGACATGAATATTTGTATTACTTGATTCATACTGCCAGAGTGCTGTTGAGAAAGCTAAACAATTCATGTCTACCAGCTCTACTTGAGAATGATTCTGACTGCAAATCTTAATGACAACTAATTTTAATCTCTAAAATCTCTTTGCTATTGTATAGATGAATGTTTTAATATTTCTTTAATTGTTACTATTAGACTATTTTTGCATGCTTGTTAGTGATCTGTATTTCCCTCTGTTAATGCATTTTCTCCTTGTCTCTTAATGTCTGTTACTCATTTGTTTTTTAGAAAATTTTTAAATTCTCTATATTGATCTCTGGAAGCTCTTTATATATTAGGATATTAGACCTTTGTTATGTTAGTTATAAGTGCTTTTCCAGTTTGTTGTTTAACCTTTTGATGTTTGTGTTGACTTAGATAAGTTTTAAATTTTACATAGGTAACTGTTTTAAAGTTTTCATTTTGAGCTCATTTCTTTTACTACTCTTTTACTGTTTTAGTGCTTAAGAATCCTTCTCCATCTACTGAGAAGATAGCTTTTTTGTTGTTTAACTTTTGTATTTAATTTTAAAATTAATGTTGATATTAGATATATTTGTATGCTGTAAGGACTGAATTTTTTTTTAAAATAGCTAACACAGTTTTCAGCATCGTTTATGAAATAATTAATTATTTTCCCCATTGATTTTTGATATTTCTTTAATCACTTATCAACGGTTTATAAATAGCAGGGTCTGTTTCTAAGGTGTTTCACTGATCTGTGTTTCTAGTCTCTGTCAAGGACATAATTAATGTAGATTTATATGATATAATATCTGTTATTTCCTATTAATGATTTTTAATTTAGCAGAGAAAAGCAAAGGCTATTCATCTCTCTTTATTATCCTAATTAAACATGAGAATTGTTCTGTTCAGTTTTCCCCCATCCAATTATGATTTTATTAATATTTAAGTTAATTTGAGAACATAGTATCTTTAAGTATTCAGCTTTCCCTCCAGGAATATGTTATGTTTCTCTATTTATCCAAATATTCTACATGTCTCATCAAGGTTTTATGGTGTTCATCTGACTACACGGACAGCCTACTTCTTGAAAGAGTTATTTCTGATTATTGTATGTGTTTGGCTTATTCTTTCCAGGGGTGAGTGCAGTCCACCATTTTTCATGTTTTGTTTTCTAAATAATTACTTTTTGTATTCTAAAGTTTTGATTTTTGTATATTCACTTTGTACTCAATTATGCATTTGAATTATTGTCAATTCTAAATATATTTCAGTGCATGTCCCCTTTTCCTGTCTCGTGCATCTTCCTCATCCCAGGACATCACCCTCTCTTGTGCAGAAAACATATTTCTCCTCATTTCAATAGTTATATCTCTTTTGTGTGTTTCATGTTTTTATCATGTTAAACAATACCTTATGCTAAATCAAATCTATGTTTGATTATTTAGCTGTTAAGCAAAATGCTTCTTGAAGGGTTAAGTGTTTTGTATTATGTTAATGAAATGTTTCTTTGTTTCAGTTTTGTAATTATTAGCAAAGAATCAAGGACGAGTGTTGACTTTTAATCAAATACCTTTTCTTTTGAATTTATTGTTTTTTAAAGCTTTTTGACCCATGTTTGAGGTGCGTTATATAAAGAGATTTTGAAACATGTTATGATCTTTGCATTTTTGGCATTATGATAATAGCTATTATTTATTTAATGCTTACTACGTGTTAGAAGCTGTGACAAGTGCTTTCCGTGTATTACTTTAATTAATCCTGGTGAATTCCCTAAGAGGTAGCTCTCATTGTTAATCTCACTTTATAGAAGGAACTAGAAGCACAAAGAGTAAAGTAACTCTCCCTTGGAAACATACCTGTAAGTGGGCAGGCCGTCTGAATTCCAGAGCTTATATTCCTAAGCCCTAACTATGGTGCCTCTCAAATTGACTGTGGCGGGCCATCCTTTTAATGCATTGCTGAATCTGAGTCACTGATATTTTTGTTAGGATTTTTACATCTTTATTAATAATTGAAATTTAACTATAGTTTTCTTTTTTATGTCATTTTTCTAGGTTTTTATATTTGAATTATGCATGCTTAAATGGGAAGTTTAATTTTAATAATTTTATAAAGAAATAAAAACAGTTTATGTAACATTTTATTATCTCTTCCTTTTTAAAAAACTACCTAGTTATTTGTATGGCTTTGGAGACATTTTTGGAGATGATCGTTAGATGTGATTTTTAGCTTCTTCCTCACTTATTGATACACTCAAAATTTCTCCATCTTGGGTACACTTTGGCCATTTATTTTTTTTCAAAGTCATTCATCTCGTTGAAAATTTCAAATGTATTATCATACCATGGAACATGATAGCCTCATGTTGGTATTAACTTAGTTCAAATGTCCTGATATGCAATGTTATCTTATTATTTTTCCCCAAATAGAAAAAAGAACACTGTAAACTACCTGACGTATAGGACCACAAGCTACTACCAATCTGTTATCAAATGTTACCTTCACACTCTGTTACCAATATTTTGGTGGCTACATTTCTATTATCCAAAAGAAGGGGTAAATTAATCATAATCTGAGACTAGAGAAAAATAGACTCTGCTTAGCTATTTTTTGCATTATAATATCTAGCAACCAGAATTAGCTGGTTTCTTCTAGCTATGGAGTCTAATGGCCTATACACTCATATTTGGACATTTATAACTGTTGAAAACTATGAAAGAACTTAGACACGTCTAGTCCAAGACAATTCCA